TTTTTTTTTTTTTTTTTTTTTTTTATTCTTTAAATAAAAAAGAAGTCAAAAAAGGCCGACCGTGACAACGAAGAAGAGCCCAAACTAGAACTTTGGATTCGTGGAGAATGGATGCGGCCCAAAGTTTCGGCCCGTTAATGGCGCCTTCGGTTTCCGCCTTTGTTTTTGTTCCTCGTCTCCCTCGCAAAGATTTACGCTTCCATTGCACCCCGCACCGCCGCTCCTGCCCGACACCGTATCAGCTGTTGGTGCCGCAGTCGAAGTCGTCTGAAGGAATCTCTGCCGCCCTCATACGCTCTCTCGCCTCCGAGAAATCAGAGTTATCTCTGTTTTTCTCTCTCTCAGAAACACAGTGGTTCGTTTCAGCCCCTAATCGGCGCCGTTGGTGAGATTTCGCCTCCCTCGGGCGTTTTTCAGAAATTCAATACATTTTGTTTTGTTGATTTCTTCTTCAACCGATTTTTAACAAGTCTAAATGATAACATTTTGTTTTACTGATCTCATTTTTTTTTTTTTTTTGCACATCCAAATACTTCATGGCTTCCATTCAGGGTTTTGTGATCTTTATGTTAGTTACTTACGATACAATTTTTTTTTGTAGACTTAGATTGAGGCATATTACTAAGATTTCAGAGAACTTACTCTTGTAGATGTCTAGGTAGCTGTCTGATTATTACAATACCACTACGCCGACTCTTTTAGTGGTCCGCCGTTAATATGGCAATCTCAGTGTCGAGAAGGCTGTTGCGCTCTTTGGGCTCCCTATCAACATTTGGGCAATGTAATTCTTCGTGTACCATGAGTCAGTCGTTTTATAATTCCCGTGGTAATGCATTCTCATTTCCTCCTTATTTCAAAATTTTTACTTGCCTACAACTTTTTTTTCTACGCTTTAATGTTTTTTTTTGTCTAATTCAATGATTATTAACATATGTTTGAGTAGAAATTTATGGTCACGTTAAAGGGAGTAGCTCTATGTTTGCGGGCTGTTCTACCCTATTGAAGGTACTACTATCTTTTACTCAAGGACATGATATTGAAGTTTGTAGAATGTGGATTTTAATCACATCTTAATGTGTTATGCACACCTTTTTTTCATTACACATCCCTAAATTTGTTTTTGTCTAACCATTGTATATGAAACAGGCTGGAACCTTTCTTGTCTCCAAAGGGCTTTCCACCTCTATTTTGACTCCCGAATCAAGCAACGCTAAACCAGTTGTATCAGAAGAGCGCAAGATAGGTAGCAATATTTTTCCTCATTTTTTACTCTTCATAAGATTGTAGACGTACTTTATTATGGCGAAAGAATTGGTATATCAATCTCTTTTGTGGTTAATATATTATGTTGCATCATTAGGGCTTCTTCAGGACCTGATGATTCCTGTGACAAACTTTCAAAATGAAGACAAGGGGTTCATGGTCTTGGCTGGAGATGTTTTTGACGTCCCTATCAGGAAGGACATCATTCATCGGGTTGTTAGATGGCAGCTTGCAAAGAGACAGCAGGTATTGGTTGTGTCCTCTTCATGCAATAGAGCTTGAGACTAGTTGATTGATTGAATGCAAACAGTGTCTATTAGGGGAGTTATTTTTCCTTATACATTTGTCTTTGTGCATTTTTATTCATTTGATAAATATAAACATTTCCATAATTATTTATACCAGAGGATAATATTATGAGGATTAGCGACATAGTGACTTTTGATATCGCATTTTAATTTGTATTTAAATTACAATGGAGACAGCCATTGGCAACTTCATTAACATACAGGTCCTGCATTGGAAGAAGCGGTATTTTGACACATGAATAAATTGTTTGTCTAATTATATTGGTATTCTTAATGTGTAGAAAGTAGTTAATCTATTATATTAAGTGTCAATATATGTTTAGAAGGTAGTTAATCTGCAAAATGCAAGTTGTGGGTAAGTTTATAGAAGTGATTTTAGTAGCTAAGCATCTCGAGTGATGACAGGGAACACATTCAACAAAAACAATTAGTGAGGTTAGTGGCACCGGGAGAAAGCCATGGCGACAAAAAGGTACTGGTAGAGCAAGGCATGGAACACTGCGTGGTCCCCAGGTAGCTATGATTTTACTATGAATTATGATGTTCACAATGCCAAAGATTACAGTAGTTGCTAATGAACTGGATGATGATTATAGTTCAGAGGTGGTGCAGCTATGCACGGCCCTAAACCACGAAGTCATGCTTTCAAGCTTAATAAGAAAGTTCGTCGTTTGGGTTTGAAGATAGCTCTTACAGCTCGTGCTGCAGAAGGAAAGGCAGGCCTTTCTCTCTTGCTATCATTTTAGCATATGGATTATTTTCTACAATGCTTTGGCTTACATGCACGTTCTAACACATGATATTTTCTTTCCATATGTTTATGAAACCTCACTTTGGAAATTCTGTGACTCTCAGCTTCTGATATTTGATAATCTGGACGTCGCTACACATAAGACGAAGTATATCGTGAACTATGTCAATGAAATGGAGAATACTAAAAAAGTTCTTCTAGTCGATGGTGGCCCCATCGATGAGAAACTGAAGTTGGCCACACAAAACCTTCATTACGTCAATGTTTTGCCTTCTATAGTGAGTCTTCTTGATGGCTTCCCTTTTTTTGTTAGCTTCATAATAAATGAATTTGTGTTTTAGTTGCTTATAAAAGCCCCTGGTCCTAGAACATAACTATATCTTTTATTGGTCAGCTTTGAAAAATCTCCGTGCCACTTCTCTCTTATAAAATCAAAATTTGAGAGATCCTTAAAATTCTAAAACGCCTCAATACATTTCCATATGATTTTTTGAACTTTTACTTGGTGTTAAAATTTATCAAGCCGAAACCATTTTGTTTTTGTACTATATTACTAATTTTCATGAATGTCTAGATGATCTTGTTTTTGTACTATACTACTGTTTTGATTCCCGACTTATTTCCTAATTTTATTCTATAGGGTTTGAATGTGTACAGCATTCTTCTACATGATACTCTTGTCATGTCTCGTGATGCTGTAGAAAAAATTGTTACCCGGATGCACACTCCAATCAACCGCTGAAGCCGCAGTGCATTTGACCTGAATTATATGCTCAGCTCAGATCAGCAATAACCTTTATTTCTTTGCACGAAGGGGTGAAAACCTGTATGGTGTTTCCGTTGAGTTTGAAACTTCGCTTCTGCTGATTAGCACTTGAAGGCATCGGATAGTTAGTTTTGAAGCTGTAGTTTGTGGTGCTCGAAAATAACCAAAAGAGCCAATTCTTACTGGCAGATTTTTCTGAGACTAAGGTTATCACATCTTGCAGATTTTTTTTTTCCTCTTTAGAAAATCATGTTACTGATTTCTTTTTATATAACGGTTATTCTGAGACTAAGGTTATCGGTTGTCGGTGCCGATGGACTTGTCTCCATCACCTATTCCCTTGTTAGTCTCGTGTTGGATTCACTAACCATCTGAAAACAATGAAATCTTAGTAGGTAGCAGCAAGCAACTGACCATGATGATGTTAGGAAAATGGCTGAAATAGATTTGCCTACCACTTACGACTGTTCTTCATTCCCATGCTGATAAGCTTTAGCCAAAGGAAACCAGGAAAAGCATCTGAATCAAGATCATGCATTTCTGCATCAAATTGGCCAGGAATTTGTCCCCGTTTCAGTTGTCACTAGTTTAGTTTTAAATTTGTACATATCGGATGTTTTTTCATGTTCTTAAATTTGACTACATTTTCAATAAAAAAATTTAAACTTATTTTAAAACGAAAAAAAAAAAGAAAAAAGAAAAACGGTCATCAATTTATTTAAACATATTTTATTATTATATATGTATATATTATATTTTTCATAAAATTGTTGACCCAACCCAAAGCAGTAAAAATATCAGGCCATTACTGAAATTAGCCCAGTAAGGACCAATCAGGCCCAATTGATTCGGCCCAAAATCGAAATCCAACGCACTGAAGTTATTGAACGACAGTTTAACCGCGAAATGTACCAAATCCTATCATCTCAATCTTCCTGCCCGCTCAATCTTCTGCCGTTGTTCTCTGCGGTGTCCATTTTCTTCTTCTGCTTCTCCACATGCGAAATGAACGTGCAGGCATTGCATTCTTCTGTACATGGCCAATTCAAAGCTTCTTCCGTTAGTCCATTTCGATTGCTTTCTTTTTCTCCCCCATCAGTCGGGTTGTCCAGGAAATTGTCCACTGCAGCTTTTAGAAGAAAGTCTTCTCTTGGTCGTTGTTTATATGGTAGCAGCTTGAGCTGTGGAGTTCGTGTTACACGTGGTAGAATCAGAGTTTCCTTGACGAGGGAAGTTAACGAGGTTGAGGAGCAGAAGCAGCAAGAGGTGAGGAGGGCTTACCCCTTCCATGAAATAGAGACCAAATGGCAGCGTTATTGGGAGGAAAATCGAACTTTCCGAACTCCTGATGAAATTGATACTTCTAAGCCTAAGTTCTACGTGCTTGATATGTTCCCTTATCCCAGGTTTCTTTTTGCTCTCTGTTGGATTCTGAGTTAGTGGCTACTTTCTTTTCTCACCTTAGATTGATCCAATACGCACAGGTTTTCAGTCAGTTCGTGTTTCTTAAGAATCGAGAATTGATGTCTACTTTATTCTGTTTTGCTTGTAGTGGTTCAGGGTTACATGTTGGTCATCCTCTAGGTTATACTGCTACAGATATTCTTGCTAGATTCAAACGCATGCAAGGCTACAATGTTTTACACCCAATGGGCTGGGATGCATTTGGATTGCCTGCGGAACAATATGCTATTGAGGTTTGGTCTCCCACCTTCCACTTAGCTTACAGCATACGACGCATGAACTGCTATTATTGTCAGTCTTAATATCAACATGTACTATCTTTTTGCCCCGCAGACAGGAACTCACCCCAAAATCACTACTTTGAGGAATATTAATCGGTTCCGCTCTCAGGTCCTGATGTGTTTTTATTCCTTCTCCTCTCTTTTACCCTTTTTCTTTCTTTCTATAGCGTGATTTCAGCTATACTTGTTTAATTCAGATTACTAAGAATACTGCCCTTTCTTTTTCTTCTTTCCTCTTTTTTTTTTTTTCCCTCTTTTGGTTTTGACTTTTATGATCTGAACTACAAGCTGAAGCACATTAGAATGGCTCTATCAACAGCATATTTAGAATAGGTCGTGCAAGTTTCTAGTTGTAAAGTTAAATAGGAGGAATACTTTGTTTCTTTTGGTTCATTTCGTACTGTCTAGGCTTGTCGTTTTGGGATTTTCTATGATTTTTGCGGTCTTTTAATTCTGAAGAATAGCGAATGAGTTCAGACATTTAGTTGTCTAAAGTATGGTGACCCTGACAGAAATCAGGAATTGGAAATTTATCCTTTGTTAGTGTTTGCGACTGCTTACAGTTTGATATTATGACTGATTGCGTAATGATGTAAATTTCATATAACATATGTGCTTTTGACTTTACCTGATATTACAGCTTAAATCATTGGGTTTTTCATATGACTGGGATCGTGAAATTTCCACAATTGAACCAGATTATTATAAATGGACTCAATGGATTTTTCTTCAACTGTTGAAGAGAGGATTAGCATACCAGGTCAGGACTATATCTGTCTTCTTGGTTTCCCACTCTCATTCCAGCTAACACAAAGATCTTATTGTCAATTCCAATAAATTCAGGCTGAAGTACCAGTTAATTGGTGCCCTGCTCTTGGCACGGTCTTGGCTAATGAAGAGGTAGTTGATGGTGTCAGTGAGCGTGGGGGTCATCCAGTTATAAGGAAGGTTAGTTGTTTTTTTATTTTGGGGTTTGTTTTGATAAACACGTAAGTATATTGTTATTTTATAGTTCGTGTAATGTTGTTTAAACTAACCCATTTTCAAAGTCATTAAACTCTTTGTTCAGTTCAAAACTCTTGGATGGTTTTATAATTTTACTGTGTCATTATTTGTTGCCAAACAGCCAATGCGGCAATGGATGCTCAAGATTACTGCATATGCTGATCGTCTTCTTGATGATCTAGATGATCTTGACTGGCCTGAAAGTATAAAAGATATGCAAAGAAACTGGATTGGGAGATCAGAAGGGGCAGAGATTGACTTTTGTGTTCTCGACAGTAATGGAAAAGATAGTGATCTCAAAATTACAGTATATACTACCAGACCAGATACCCTCTTTGGAGCAACGTACTGATTGCATACTTAACTCTATCCAAGTTCAATGAATTTCATTGACAAAATGTTGTAGTTCCAGCAAAATTTAATGATACTTTTTTTTTCATATGTAGGTATTTGGTTGTTGCTCCAGAGTACTCCTTCCTGACATCCATAACATCTCCTAAAGAAAGCAAAAAGGTAAACTTCTTTGTTCACTTGCCAACTTTCTCTCATTTTCTCAATGTTAAAAAAGAAAAAAGAAAAAAGAAAAGAATAAATAAGCAAGAAGGCTTAGATTTGAACTCAGGTGGAGGAATACAAAGAACTTGCTTCAAGGAAGAGTGACCTTGAGAGGACTGAGCTTCAGAAGGAAAAAACTGGGGTTTTCTCTGGTTGCTATGCTAGAAATCCAGTTAATGGGGAAGCTATCCCAATATGGGTTGCAGATTATGTCTTGGGGAGGTCAGTATGGGTTTATGCCTCATACCTGTTGTTCTTTACCGTTGTTTATCATTTGCTGAGCATGAATATTGAAATTTAATGTTCAGAAATTTATGATGAAATGAGAGCATGCATCATTATGTGGCTGTCTAGTAGACTGCTTCATTAAAATTTGGTTGATCTTAATTTTTTGCTAGGCCTGTAATAGTTCATACTTACATAAGAGGAAGCTATGTGGTTGTCTAGTAGGCTGCTTCATCAAAACTTGAGTAGACTAGCTTCAGTGTAGTTTTATGGGACATTTAGATAGAGAGGAACAATAGAGCTTTTTAAGAGGTGGAGAGATGGGGTGAGGAAGTTTGGGAGGTGGCTAGGTTTAATGCCTCCTTGCATCTGTCACTAGGCCTTTTTGTAATTATAAGCTTGGTCTTTTTTTTTTTGGATTGAAGTCATTTTCTATAGCTAAGGTCAAACTCGTTTTGTGTGTTGGGCTTTTCTTTTTTTAATAAATAAATTTTGGTGTCCTTATATATTATCTTTCATTTTGAGGGTGTACATTTCAAAAGGGAGGCGTAGAGGTGAGAGGTAGTTAGGGAGGTAGAGAGGAACACTTGGAGAGTGGTCTTTCAAATGGCCATCTAGGCTTCTTTGAGTGGTTGCTTGTGCCAGTATAGCTTTCGTAAACTACTTTTCTTTAATTCTACTTAGTTCAGAACCTATTATTTCTCTATCATCAGATCATTCTTAATTTGGTATTTTACAGTTATGGAACTGGGGCAATTATGGCTGTACCTGCTCATGATACACGTGATCATGAATTTTCCACAAAATACGATATTCCCATAGTGGTGGTTGTTGTGCCAGTGGATGGAAGCTGTGATTCAAATAAGGCATTTTCAGGAGAAGGTATTATTACCAATTCATCGAGTCCAACATCAGGGCTTGACATCAATGGGCTCTCAAGTAAGGAAGCAGCTTCCAAAGTCATTGAGTGGGCTGAGAAAACGGGGAATGGGAAGAAAAAGGTCTTTTCCTAAATATTGTGTGGGTCATGGTTTGCCCTGAAGGTGCCACCATTACTTATCAGTGCCTTCTTCAACTTACAACAGGTGAACTACAAACTGAGGGATTGGCTTTTTGCTAGACAACGTTATTGGGGGGAACCCATTCCTGTACTTTTTCTGGATGATACTGGTGAGAGTATTCCCCTTTCTGAAACCGAATTGCCCCTTACATTGCCTGAATTAGATGATTTTACACCCACGGGGACAGGGGAACCTCCACTCGCAAAAGCGGACTCTTGGGTATTCTCTATATCCTTCTGATTAATTTATTGTCTTTTTAATATTGCATTGTTTTATTTTCTATTGTATGGATTCGTAGACTTTCAGGATTTGCATGATAAACTGTGCTAGTTTTGAAGCGAGAAGCGACTTATTTAGGATTTTCCACCACTCATATGTGCACACACAAAAATTTAAAACACAAGTTTTTTGAGTTCAGTGACATGTGGGTGGTGGGGACCTGAACTTGTGATATCTTTTTGAAGCATATGCCTTAACTAATTAAATTATGCTTTAGGTTTTTTCACGTGCACAAATATTACATGAATGCAGGATTTGTCTGTTTTACCCTTTTTTGGAAAAAATATTTTGAAAAGATTATGACTATTTTCTTGAGTCTGCTTCACGCTTGGAAGCTTGGTATACAGCCCACATCCTTGTTAGTGTATTAGATTGGACTGGTTACTTTAAAGTCATTGCTCTACTCACATTTTTGGGCAGTATAGCATAT